ATAACACCCAGTGCTCATCCCGTCAAGTGCCCCCCTCAGTTCCCGTCACCCATTCACCCCCACCCCCCACCTTCCTCCCCATCCACCACCCCTAGTTCACTTCCCAGAGTTAGGAGTCTTCATGTTCTGTCTCCCTTTCTGATATTTCCTACCCATTTCTTCTCCCTTCCCCTCTATTCCCTTTCACTATTATTTATATTCCCCAAATAAATGAGACCATATAATTTCGGAGTCCTTCTCCGATTGACTTATTTCACTCAGCATAATACCCTCCAGTTCCATCCACGTCGAAGCAATGGTGGGTATTTGTCATTTCTAATGGCTGAGTAATATTCCATTGTATCCAGTCATCCTGGAGAATCTCTTTACCTCTTTCCTGTTTTTAGTGCATCCTTCAATAGGTTCCCGTGTTCACCAAGAATACATGGGAAGTAAAATTTTAAGAAATTTTATATCCAAAAATCTTTATTTTACCCTCACACATGATTTATAGTTTGATCAAGTATAGAATTCTAAATTAGGGAATCCCTGGGTGGCTCAGCGGTTTAGTGCCTGCCTTCGGCCCAGGGCATGATCCTAGAGTTCTGGGTTTGAGTCCCACATCAGGCTCCATGCATGGAGCCTGCTACTCCCTCTGCCTGTGTCTCTGCCTCTCTCTCTCTCTGTGTCTCTCGTGAATAAATAAATAAAGTCTTTAAAAAAAAAGAATTCTAAATTAAAAATCCTTCATCTTTAGAATTTAAGGGTAATTCTTCATAATTTTCTAGTTTTCAGTATTGCTATAAGACATTTAAAGTTTTTTCTCATTCTTCACCATTTGTTTGTACCCATTTGTTTACATATTTCTCTGAAGGATTGTAGGGTCTTCTATTTGTCCCCAGTAGTCTGAAGTTTTAGGAATTCCCAGGTGTGAATCCATTTCATCCATTGTGCTGGGTTCTCAGCCAGTTCTTTCAACATGCTAACTCCTGTTCTGTTCTTGAATTATTTTACTGATGATTTCCTCCCCATATATACTCTGTTCTCACTTTCCGGGACTCTACTTATTTCAATATTGGATCTTTTAGACCAATCTTCTAATTTTTCACATTTTTGTTCTCTTTTCTATCCCTTTGAATTTTTTATCTTCTTTCTGGAAAGTCCCTGAACATTTTCTTCAATACCTGTGAGATTTTATTTGTTATTATCCTTTTAATTTCCAAGAGCTCTTTCTTAGTTCTCCAAAGGATCTCCCTTATTTGTACAGCACTCTAAAAATTAGGCTGTTTTGGGGCAGCCTGGGTGGCTCAGCGGTTTAGCGCCACCTTCAGCCCAGAGCCTGATACTGGAGACCTAGGATTGAGTCCCACTTCAGGCTCCCTGCATGGACCCTGCTTCTCCCTCTGCCTTGTCTCTGCCAATTTCTCTCTCTCTCTCATGAATAAATAAATAAAATATTTTTTTAAAATTAGGCTGTTTCTTCAGCAAGTTTCCAACTAGTCCTTCTTATTCTAATTCCCACCTCCCTCTCTCTCCACTTCCATAGTTTCTCAGGGTCTAACTAAAGAATCTTTGGAGAAATGATTAAATTATTGTCTCTCCATATTACTGGTTCTCTCCAATTTGAATCTCTCTGGTAATAAATCAATTACCATTCATTCATGTTCTTTACATCTTCTGAAATTTCTTAATGGTTCTGTATTTATTTTCACAATTTTTTATTTGTGTCAAATCCTATTTGTTTATTATTTGTATAGTGATATACAGTTTTTTCTAAAATTGACTTAAGGTGTTTTAAAGGGAGAGTGAATTGAAAATAAATTCAATAATGATGTACATGTTTTGTGGCTACTGTAAAATTAATATTAAATTTAGGATAGTTGTGGTCATAGAACAGAGGAAATTCAAAGTAATATGATCAATAGTTAAATGATTATTTTTCCTTCCTCTGTTTTCTCCCTCTAATTAAGATATATTGGTGTATCTCAATGTTGTATATCTGATTCTTCGTCCTCCACCACAGTTTTTACATTGTTTAAATGTCATTTTTACTTTCATTGTGTGACTGTTTTCTTGTTTCTGATGCGAAGCTCTTTATAGCAAAACTGGGTGCTGCTAAAACAAAGCCAGCTGTGTTTACTTGACTTTGTAAAGTCCTAATAATTCACAACAAGATTAGTGTAGCTACTTATGGTACTAAATATTTGCCAAAGTATTCATGATAAAACAGAGGAAGATGAAACAGAATTACAAATTAATGACTACCTTAGTTTTTAGCCTAGTGTATATGGGAAATTGTTACTTTTTGTTGGGGATACATGTGATAATGGGTGCTTGGCTGAGCTGGGTTATATCACACATACAACTCATTTTCCTCTTGCAGTTATCAGAACTTAATCTTACCCAAAGGGATTAGATGGGGTGAATGCCTGGAGTGTCATTATCTTAAAAGACATCCTCTATCTTTTCTACCATATTGCTTGTCTGTATGATGCAGATATCAGAACATCATTGCTCATCACTTGGGCTGTCCAAAGTACATGTCTGAAGACAAAAGTGTCTGGGAGATTTCTCATTTTTAAGAAAGCCTTTCTAAATATTTGCATTTGTGATACTTTTAAGAGAAACAGTAATCATTCATAATTGGTATTATTATCGTTTGAAACAGAAAAGGGAGGTAATAGAACTTTGATGTCAAAACGGAATGGAAAAAAAAATAATGATAAGATAGGGACACAACTAAAGGGTTGAGGCTGGTTTTTTGAAAGATCTTAATAAGGAAGAAAGAAGGCAGCTCAGAGATACTAGACTGTCCTTTAATGCATCTGGGGATGTTTTTATAGTTAAAAAATTTAAATATGCATATAGCAATAGACCACACTAATAAACTACCTTATTAAAATTGAATTTTCTTTGAGTTGTTTGATTATATTTTGATAGCATTTCAGTGATTTTTAGAAGATTAAACTAATATTTGGTGACAAAGGGAAAATGCAGAAGAAATTCTGATTTTATTCATACAGATAATATGATTTCTTCTAATTATTTTAATACCTTCCATATTCCAGACCTGTTCTTATTTAAGGGAATAATTTCTACTCAACTGTCTAAACTATTGTATTGTTGAAGAATCTCTACTTAAGATATATAAGAAAATGCCGTATTTCATATTTGAATATTCTGCTTTTGATATACCATTAGTTAGAAAATATATTTTTAGTTACTTTTTTTTAGCATTCATAATAGATTTACAGTTTTTCCCATCCACTTCACCCAGTCCTCTGGGAAACCAAAATATCTCCCTCTCCCTATCTCCCTCATACCCTCCTTGCCATCCTGTCTCCTTACCAAATAGATTTGGTATAAATGGGAAGAAGGTACAAGATAAATCATATTAAAACAACTCTTTACTCCCTTGCAGACCTTTAATACTTTGATTTTCCTTAAAAAAAAAAATATTGCCTTTTGGTTTGCTTCCATCTTTTTCTATTATAGTATCATCTTTTTCTCAGCATGTGACAAAACTCCTCAATCTATTATTCAGGACCATTGTGCAATTTTTTTTTGGCAAAAAATTCAATTTAAAATAAAAACACATTACAGAAAATCTGAAATCTATCACTTCAATCTCCAAATATTCATTGAGAAAATACTATATGTTGTGCCAGAGATGTAGTGATGACAGAGAATTGCGCATAAACTGGTAGGGAAACATAATGATTCCAGAGGGTTAATAAGTGCTATGATAAAAATAAAAATGAGGAGATGTGGACAGAGTGACTGATGTGTATGAGTGTGTACACATGTGTGCGCATGCACATGATCATTTAAAGTTTCTTAGTTTCTCATTTATCAAATGAAGAGTTCAAATAGATGATCTCTAAGGTGTTTGCAGACCTTTTCTAATGATAAACTTTTCTAATCTTGTCCAAAATTTTTTAGATCCATTTCACCATTCCAATGATGTGGTATGTTGTCTATCTATATTGATATTTAGAAATAATAATTGAAGAATTAAAAAAATTAAACTATTAGGATGTGAAAACTATCAATATTCTTATCTACTAAAAAACCAAATGAAAACAAAACCCAAAAACCAAAATCCAAACAAACAAAAAACCTAAAAGAAAATAAATGTGTATATCTGTCCACCAGAAGGGATTCAAAGCCCAATTTGTATCCATGCTCATTTATAGTGTCTCTTTATTTGCCCTTTTGCAAAAAAAAAAAAAAAAAATGAATGACAGTGGATTGGACAATGACATGACCAGTTCAATTTCTATGAACTGCTTGGCTAGTTGGAATGGTTGTAATCTCACTTCAGAAGCTCCTAAAGGAAGAGTCAGGCATGAGCGTTCACTTTTGTGTAGCCATTTGAAGATCTGTTGTTTAAGAAGAATTCTATGTGGAAAGTCATGGAAAGTATCATGTGATAGCAATGATTAGTAACAGTGGTGGTATTAATAATTAATTTAGGGAACTATTGCATTTATTATAAATCTCTTTTGGAAACCGTGGTAGAACCTCTGAAACACTATGAATTCAACTATTCAATTTGGTAGAAGAGAGGAGACAATGCTTTCTTTTAACGATACTTGGCAAGTCATCTTTTTAAATAATTAATTTCTTTTCCTCACTGATAATCACAAAAGTGCCATCAGGAAAATGCATTTTTCTTGGTTGTCATGGAAAAATGCATTCTGAAATTGTTTCCAACTATTGTTATGAATTTTGTTATTTAAAAAAATATATAAGTGGAACATGGATAGAAATCCTGCTTTGAGTTCTCAATGGACAGATACACTCACGTGTTCTTGTAAGCTTTTGCTTGGTAGTAGGGTCTTTCAGCCTGGCTTCTTTCGGTCATCCATCGCTCTTGCTTCATTTTTAGAAATGGTATGCAGCCACATGGAGGAAAAATAAAGGAGAAAAACAGTTTCAAGATTAATCATAAAAATCACAAAAATGAAAAGGAGTAAGACAAATGTCTGTGAAACTGATATTAGTTATGTCTATTGTAGAGGCAAGCCAAACCTACTGGACATGGGCTCTTTGATGATCAAACCAATCCAGCGTGTAATGAAATACCCGCTCTTGCTGTGTGAACTCCAGGGCTCCACCCCTCCCTCTCACCCAGACTTTGGGGCGCTGGGGGATGCCTTTACTGCAGTGAAAGACATTAACGTGAACATCAATGAATTCAAAAGACGGAAGGATTTAGGTAAGAAGAGACATGATGAATTGAGTGTTTACTGTGATTGAAGTGTTCTGCTTATGCTCCCGAGAATCAGAATATCTAAGTGGTTACAGCAGTTTTCAGTGATCATGTTCGCTTGATATCTAGAGTTAGAGGTTGGGAGCAGAGTGTAGCTTTGCCTGGCCAGCTGAGTTCAGGAGATCATGAGGCAAAAAAAAGAAAGAAAGAAAGAAAGAAAGAAAGTAAGAAAGAAAGAAAGAAAGAGAAAAAGAAAAAGAAATTTAAAAAAATCAAGTAGCCCTATACTTGAATTCTTTTGACCCCTCATGCCTTGTAACATACTGTGGGCTAGAGATACCATAGCACATTGTTCTCCTGTCACTGGTGATATGTGTGGTAAGAAGGAGACATGGCATGGCCAGGAAGCTAGAGTAGTGAGAATCTAGAGCCAAATCAGTGATGAAACAGGCCCAGCTAATACATCAAGCTCATCTGGTTCTGGCACATAAAGAATGGAGATTTTGTAGCAATAATATAATATAATAATCCCTCTATTGAAGGGAACAAGTATATTTCTTTCTCAAATTAAAAAATTATTGTTACGAATTTGTTAGCCAAGATGTAAAATTCATGTCTGAAGTGGAATGTAGATTTCAAAACAGGAGGCACAATTATAGGGTTCCTATCATCCCAGATGTAGTAATGTACTGGGATAGATTGTGTGTGTCCTTTGTCAGTGTGATTTGTGTCCATAAGTTCTTAATTGGCTTTGTACTTCTAATACTAAATGTCAATTCAACATTAAAGCAATGGTAGGACTTTAGAGCTAACTGCTCCAACAACTTCATTTATTTACATTGTTTTTCTTTTCTAAATTTATATTTAAAAATAGTATGTATTTATATTAATAAATTAAAATTACAAAGAAGGGACTAGAGAAAAAAAGTAAAAGTTGTAGAGGAAAAGACACCATAAACAAATTAAAAGACAGTCCATAGGCAAAGGATTACTATATAGAGTATATCATTACTGATATTTAATCAATAATAAAAACATTCTAGGGATGCCTGGGTGGCTCAGCGGTTGGGAGTCTGCCTTCGGCTCAGAGCGTGATCCTGGAGTCCTGGGATCGAGTCCCATGTTGGGCTCCCTGCAGGGAACCTGCTTCTCCCTCTGCCTGTGTCTCTGCCTCTCTCTCTGTGTCACTCATGAATAAATGAATAAAATCTTTAAAAAATAAGAAATAAATTCTAATACAAAAAAAAAAGGTTAGTTAAAGAAGGAAGCAGTTCAGAAAGACCAATACATTTCTAAATGTTAAGCTTCATTTATAATCAGAGAAATGCATATTAAAATCACAATGACATATCATTCTCATCCTATCAGATTGGCAAAAAAGATTTTTAAGGGACAATGTTAGGTGCTGAATCTCAATCTGCAGATGAGAAGTCTTCAGACTTTCTACGTCTTTTTTTTCTATTTTCTTTCTTCTCTTCTCCTTCTTTCCATCTTTCCTGAACACGTGTGGCACTACGGTTTGCTGGGGTTTGCTTTTAAACTTAATTACATATCATGTTTCTTCTAGTTAATATTGGCCTTCAGTGGTTCCCTAGTTTTCCATTTCTGAGTATGTCATAATTTAGTTCACTGTTCCTCTATGGATAAACTTTTTGATTGTTCTAAAATTGTGCTATTGGAAAATGTGCTGTAGGGAACAAAACGTTGTATGCCTGATATGGAAAGCAGCTTCTCTGCACAGATTTCCTGTCATAGGCTATACGTTTAGAAGGTTCTGCCCATTTGTTCTCCCTAAAAAATGTATTGGTTTAATCCTCACCAACTGTGTGTAAGATTGCCCATCGCCCGGCACCCTTACCGGAACTGAATTGTAGAAGTATTTAACATTTTGAACAATAGGAGAAGTGAAAATGATCTTAAAGATAAAAAGATAAAGCTCAGAGAGGTGACTCAGCTTTCCCCAAATGTCTCAGCTAGTGGAGAGCCAGCTACTCTAGAGTCTAAGGTCTCCTTATGTTGGGTGCAGTTTCCTTAGCTAGGTCTTGAGGCTTCATTCTAGAGACTGAAGACAATATATTATCTGAGAAAAGAGAAAGTTTTTCTCCAGTGCCAAGTATTTTTAAAATGTGATAAGTACATGGATCTTGAGCTTTGAGGAACTCAAGTCCCTGGACACCTGAGTTTCCAGTCAGTAGGTTGGGCAGCTGGGCTTATGCCTGGGGAGTGGGGCCAGAGCATATTGCATCTGCATCAGAGGGTCAAAAGTCACTTAGACTTCTATCTTAAATATGGATCTTGAATTCTTTGGATGAAACATACACTCCCCATGTTGCACATGTTCAGATATGTGATTGCATTCTTCCATTTCAGTTCTAAAATACAAGAAGAATGATGAGGATGAATCACTTAAAGATAAATTGTCTAAACTAAATATTCATTCAATTAGCAAGAAATCAAAAAGAGTGACAAATCATCTAAAGATTCTGACCAGAGGAGAACCACAGGTAATTTTTCTTCTTGGGCCACATACGTTCTTCTGGGGCATATGAATGCTGATATTTTGCTTATTATCAGAGCTGTTTCTAGAACACTGAGAATCAAGGTAGTGGCCAGATGTTGATCTTTTCTTTCTACCTCTTTTAGGGGAAATGGAGTGTGGGTGGCTTTGACACTATTTTAGCTGTAGTGCTTCCACTGAGGAAGCAAAGGAGAGAAAAGGACATGAGGACAGGGCTCAACATGAGATGCCCCGAAGTCCTGATACTCACCATCAAGTAGCATATAATCTCACCCAAGGCCTTGTCCTTCTTTCATCCCTATCTTATCTCTGCTTTTAAAAATCTCACTTTCCTTTTGGGTTCCCTTAATGTTCATTTGATCTTCACTTCACCTATTTAAAAAGGGGTGGTTAAGTGCATCCCTTATTTTTTTCCTATCCTAATCCTCTTCCTCACCCCACCCCACCCCCCCACACACACACGTTATGTCACTGGGCAACTGTTCTGTGTCAGCTGTTTAGCCTGGTTTGAACCACATTCATCTCAACCCCAAATAAATAATGGATGAATTAGCAAAGGCTCTCAAACTTTAATGTGTGTAACAATTAGCTGAGGAGCTTGCCAAAAGATTCCAGGGTTCCACCTAGTTCAAGGGTGCAACCTAGAAGCCTGGTATTTTTGCAAAACTCCAGGCGTTTTGAAGCTAAATGACCTTCAAGTGAGTGACCAATGGAACACAATTGAGAATCACAAGACAGAAAGCTCACAGCCTGGATATGGAAATTAAGTGGGCTTCTAACAAAAAGTAGGCAGGACATTTCCTTTGTTACCATATAGTATGTTTTTCTTCTTCTCATTTGCCTGATTTCATCCCTTTTTGTTAACATCTCTAAGGTTTTTAGTGTGAACTAGAGGCAACCATATGGTAGTTCAGTCTTGGTTTTGTTGGCTTTCCTCCGTTCTTTAGCTGCCATGGTCTTTTTCCTTTTTCCATTAAGTCTTTGCAGTTTTCTGACCCTAAGATGGTAGTGGCCTCTTCCTCTTCTGAATGCCTAACAAACTTGCTGAGTGTTTTCCAATCTTGGCATCATGAACATTTGCTGAAGTTAGCACAGTGCAAAAATTAAGAGCAAAATTTTTGAAGTCATTTAGATCTGAATTAGAATATCACTTCTGCCATTTGCCTTGGGGCACATACTTTAAAGCCAAGGTGGTCATCAGGATTATAAGGATCTAGCCGTGGAGGGCTTGTGAGAATGAAATGCGGTGATGCATATGAAGAAAGTACCTAACACAGTGGGTAAACACTTAGTATATATTGGCTGTCATCATCATCATAGTCATCCTCATTTCACATCACTACAGTGTATTATTACTGCTTACTAACTTTTAATGTACAGATTTCTTACTACTCTTGTAGATGTAAACTCATTTATGTATGGTGTATTAATCAGGTCCTTTAATTTCTGTATTTTATGATGTTTAGACAACTTGAAAAAGCTTCTGGCCATGACAGATGCTCGTCCCAGGACTAGTCAGTCCATTCTTAGAGATAGCAAAGGGCTCAGCTGGGATCATTTCTTTCATATGTGAACCAACCAATCCAGCCCCAAACACCTTCCAATCAATCTCTCACACACCAAGCCAGTGTTCCTCTGTCTTAAATCATCCTAGGGCCAGGTACCAGGCAAATAGAGACTACCACTAAAGCCCAAAGCCCAGGGGAATTTCCTGAACTGGCCAATCCTAAACTGTTTATCCTGACCCAGCTATTTCTATAGGGTTTCCCACAAAAACCACAATCAAGGCTCTGGCCTTGACTTTCCCCTTGCTCCTTTCTGCTCCTGACCAAAACCTAGTGATTGTCCTATGGACCTATATGGCACAAAGTAACCTTCTCTTTAGGACTTGTCAGTATATCAACTTCTTCCAAGCCTTGTTTCTGTTTCCTCTTGTGGCTGCACCTATTTTACCATTCCATATCCAATACGGACATTCTTAGAATCCGTGGCATGTATCATTCTTGTCAGTACTTCTTTATGCTCTTCTAGGGGCTCACTGGGTCCTTTGCATGCAGGAAAAAAACTCCAGGCCCCTCTCTCAATGTGAAACTATAATGTGAGACGTTTGGGTCATTATGGTGTACGGTCATAGATCAGGGAAAGGAAAATCAAAACATTTGAACTAAAAACAACAATAATAAAATTGGATTGGGAATTCAATTTGAGAAGAGACGATAGCCTCCATAGGCATGTCTAAGTGTCATGCACACAATTCTCCCCTGCTCTTTAGGTCTTTGCTTTTGACTTAAGACAATTCAGTTGAGGAACAATAGGCAGGTCTTAATTCTGGGCAGGTTTTTGTAAAAGCTGTTACATTCTTTAACATATTTATCATCAGCTTCTGATATTTTCCATTGTGAACTAAAAGTGAATTGTAGGTAAAGTGGCCTGAAGGGATATTAATTAGATTTTTCCCCCTTAATCTTTTGAGAAGATGTCCTGTCAGCAATGAAGCATTTCACTGTTAATCAGAAAATCAGCTGCATAGGCTGAACTGCAGAAGAGATAAATCTCAAATCAGTCAATTTTGCACTTGTCAGCAGCTCAAGTGAAATATTTGGTGGAGTTAGGGTATAAAACTATTACCCGAGAGGAAGATTCTATTCAATTCATCACACATGTATTGAACTCTATGTACCAGACACTGTGTTAGAAATACAAAGAAATTCTGAATTCAGACTCCTCGGGTTTGAATCCTGGTGTTACCTACTAACGTGAGTAAATTTCATTAATTTCCTGTATTATTTATGGTAAAGACCAAGCTCCTTTCAAAGAGATTCCAAAACAAAGTAGGTTAAGCCAGATAGTCATTTATTTCTCTCTTATGATAGTCCTAAGATGTGAGTTCAGACAGTTGCTGCTGCACAAAATTGTTCAGGAACCCAGTTGTCCCCAAATTGGTACTGTGCTGTTTCCCCAAACATACTGTCTTCATATGCTTGGTTGAAGTTGGGTCACTGCTGTGTCTTCAGTCTTGCCCTAAGGATAATGCTGTAAGGCCAAAGTTCAGAAGTGAAATACAACCCTTAGCTAACATCCTATGTATTCAAACCAGTTATGAAGGCAGAACCAGCTGCAGGGGAGACTGGAAAGGGTAGCTCCTAGCAGGGCAGCCATGTGTCCAACTTAAACTAACCATGTGTCCAGGAGGAACATCAAGCTATGTCTGCCACAGCTCCCAAGATTCTGTTTATCTCTAAAATGGGATTAATTGTGGCACCTCTGCCATAGAGTTTTATAAGAATTGAAATGAGAGCATGGAAAGCAGGTTTTAGCATAGTGTCTGGAACAGAGTTAGTGTTTAATAAATGTTAGCTATTACTATTATTGAGACAAAAAATACTTAATCTCAAATGCCTGCAATTGACCAGTGGAGAAAATCACTTAAATAATTAACAAGTGTTGTGAGAGGACATTGGGGAGCAATTAATTCTCTGTAGTGAAAAGAATAGGAATTCAAGGGAGGATTCACAGAATGGATGACAGTTGAGTCCTCAAAAAAAATTAAACAAAATTTTGTAAGGCAAAAGAAGGGACAGCAGCATATTCCAGCAGAAGGAAACAGCATAAGAAAGGCATGGCTCTAAGGATGTAGAACTGGACAATATTTCTCATACTGGGATCCTGGATCTCTTACTTTAGAATCATCTGGATCCCTGCCAAGATGCACAAAATAAAACAGCTAGTGATAGGTCCTTGAAAACTGCATTTAAAATAATCTGCCCCAGCATATCGTTCTATACATCAAACTAGATTAGCACATAGACACCCTAAGGCAGAGGGTTTTGAAATTTGTGTGACTTACAAAGAACTGTGCACCTATTTAAACAAAAGCTTCTTAGATAAACAATATTATGGGACTTAAAAATAAAATTAAATATCACCATTTTCTGTATATCCAGTTCTGAGGTCAACCATCTCCCCCCAACCCCCTCGGGTCACTCATCTCCCCCACCCCCACCCCACCCCCTCAGGTCAACCATCTTAAATGAACAAACCTATGAACTGAGAACAGCTATGGTTACTAACCAGTACCAAACTGAAGAATATCCACCATATTCCACAAATCATTTGCATGTTCACATAGATTTTGCCAGCATGAAGCTGGTTCTGCCCTTCTTTTGTCATAATTTTGATAGTTAAGAAATACTTCACACCATTAATAATAATTATGGTATTATCAAGAAATCAAGATAAGATATCAAGAAATAACTGAACACATGTGACCACTATCTTAACTCTGCTGAGTTTTCCTCACAGAAGGAATTTTTGCTAAGATTATATTCAATTTTTCAAATTTGAGCTGGGTAAGAATTACTGCCTTTCTTTAGCCAAGAAGCTAAGTATATTTGCTAAATAACCACTGTGAAATTAACTGAGATGAGTCATATCAACAAAACAATAAGTTTCAGTCAACAGGTCAACTTTTCATTTTAATTTTTATTTTATTAATTATTTTACATACCCACAAATTGAGCATAATTTAAAAGTACATATATAATGCAGGCCATTAAAAACTGCAGAGAAAAGTTTTACCTCCTCCAGCTACCATCACATAGATGAAACTCTGTGAAAGCTGAACAGCAGATTAACCTGCACTATGTGGCTCTGCTACAGTAATTGAACAGCAGTTGTGCTGTGTGCTGGTACACAGCAAGTACTGTGCTAAGGCAGTCAGCATGACATGAAAGGTTTTCATCTACACAAGGAGTTCTTTTGTCATGTGCTGGGCTAATACAGTCTGTGATATTTTTTTAAAACATCAGATCTGCTTGAGTTATAAAAATAAATAATTTCATCTACATTTTAGGTGAAAGACAATACCTTTAATAGAGAAGAAAAGCTATTTAGATCCTTAGAAAAGACGGTGAGGCATTGTGTGAAGAACATTTCACTCTCCCTTCAACACATACAGGTAGGTAAGACACAACTGTTTCCAGCGTTTCTACAAGAAGGTATTGATGTCCATGGTTATTACGAAGAGTAAATGTGAATGTTCATTCATTTATATGATCTAATTTATATGATAGATTTCATTTATACTGTATCAAATTTGGGAGCTGAAGACTGCAGGGGAGGGAAACCAGTTTAAAGATTTAGATTTTGTTCTTTGCTTCCTTATCTGCTCCATCTTTCTCCCAACCAAAGTCACCATGTGGCGGGACATTAACTCACAAGACTGCCATGTGGTGCTAGACTATTAAAATGCTTTTCTTATAACAGAGCTGAATTCATTAATGCAAAATTGATTCAGCAGAAGTTTTCTTTATTGTTGGATTATACTAACATATACTAACTATATGTTATATAGATATATTTATATAATTAACATATACTAATATATACTAACTCTTGTACCCAAATCACAAATTTGCAATTTTAAAAGTGGGACTGAAAGAAAAAAAAATCAAAGGAGGACATCACATGAAATTAGAGAAAGACTAAAGAGCATAAAGCATAACATAAAGGCCATATAAAAAAAAAAAACACAAAAACCCACATGTGGATTTCAAATTCAGCTGCAAGCCTTTGAGAAGCCAACTTAAAAAAGGATGTACTATCTCACTAGTCTAGATGAATAGAGCACCTCTATTTATTTTATAACCAGTGTTTCGTAATGCCCCCTTTACAGTTCTGAATGAAATTCACAGGTAATTCAACCTTACATAGGTAGGTCTACATAAAAGAAAATCAATGTGAAAGATAATAAATTCCTTTTTTTTAATTTTTAAAAAATATTTTATTTATTCATGAGAGACACACACACACAGAGACAGAGAGAGAGAGAGAGAGAGGCAGAGACACAGGCAGAGGGAGAAGCAGGAGAAGCAAGCTCCATACAGGGAGCCTGATGCAGGATGATCCCAGTTCTCCAGGATCAGGCCCTGAATTGAAGGCCACGCTAAACCGCTGAGCCACCCGGGCTGCCGAGAAAATAAATTCTAAAAAAATAATTGGAGAACTACAATATGCAGATGTTCCCACACAACCATAGTAGTGTGGGACAAAACCACCCCCACAAATTCCCAGTCACCCAGGAGCTTTTTCTGCTAATGTTAATAATCATAGGCTTAACCAAACCAATTTGAAGTGTGGTATAATTATATTCAGTAGAGAAAAAATGGATCTCATAAAGAAGATGTGGTGTCTTCAACAACACCTTGATCATGGTTATGACTGCAAGACATAGTAGAATTCCATGTAACTCAGTTAACAAATGACCCTCTTCCCATTTTCCAGTTTTTACCTTGAATATCTATTTTTGGAAGCAGATGTTTGTATGCATAGGTAAAATATCATACCAACAGAGGATTAGGTTAACAGGTATCATGATTTGGAAAAAAGATTCTGTGTTATGTTGATTCTGTGTTATGTTGGTTTATTATTATGTTGGTTGGTTAACAAGCCACATTCTTTTTTCATTTATTAACTGATGCAAAGCCTGATTTTACAATCAAGTTTGCTAATCTCTTCTTAAAGCTCTGCTTTCTGTGAAAAGAAAACAAAAACTTAGTTATAACAGCCAGAGAGCCGTGGGAACTCTATCCTTCATATATATTTCACGAAGTGAATGCATCTTGGGAACATCTACAGGAAAGTCTTCTATTTCCACTACTGATTCAACAAAAACACGAGCATCTTCTTTTAAAAAGAGCATTACATTCACTAAGGAAAACCGAAGACATAAATCAAAGAGGAGTGATTTCTAAAATAAAGGATTTGTAAGAACTGAATGGTCAATAAGATGAAGTCCACTTAATAGAAGGTGTCATACAGAGTAGTAGGAGAAAGTGACAGAGGGCAAGTAAGAAAATAATTATTACAAGTAACCTCATTGTATAGAAGATTCATGAAATTTTTTTCCTTCCTTTTTTAATCTCTCAGTGGTAATGGAGGGTTATGATGATGAAGTGTACATTTGGGATCATTTAATTATAATGAACTTCAGAACTTTGCCTATTTTGTGATTTTGTTTTTGGTTTCAGGATGCCATGCCCTTAGCACTGCAGAGCATGATGGAGCTCCAGGAGATTTCACGCAACAAAAATGAGGAGGAAAGGAGCCATTCAGAGGCCCTAAGTAATGCCCCAAATCCCTGTGGTGACTTTGTAAGTTATTTATATTCACAGATAAACTAGGAAGTGGGGTTAAAAGAAAAGCTATTTTTTATTTGTTTTTCTGGAGTTAGAAATAAAACATGCACTAAAGCAAATATGAATGTCAAAATCAGTAGATTTAAACAGGAGGGTTTTTTTTTTTATTATTGACTATTTTAAAGTGAATTAGTGAAGATCTCAATTACTATGATTAAAATTTAAGAGGGTCCCAGACTGTGTTTCTAAGAGTAGTTAGTGTCTATGTAGCTTTTAAAATCAACATTTAGCTTAAGTCTGCATGTGATAGATCACGGATTTATTAAATTGGCAAGCTATAATTTTCCTAAAGCAGTCTCTGGAAAAGTCTGGAGTCCTTACAGGAGGAGCGAAGCTACTCTCTGATGATGTGACTTTGATTAACACACAATATATCTGGAAAATAAAGCCTTCTTATTGAGAAAGGGCTTTTACCTATGAGTCATACGTCTTCTATGCTGTGGTAAAATATTTGTTTCCTATGAGTTCTGTAAAATATACAGAATTACCAAACATAGCCCAGGAATCAAAAAACATGCTTGAGCCAAGAAAATATTTGGCTGGTAAAGTTTGAGTAGTACTGATGGGGGAACACAGGGCTAGCTGAGGACAAAGCACGAGCTCTGGACAGCACCTTGACAAGTCCTTGAAACAGGCAAAGGGGCACTCCTCTACGGTCTCAACTGCCTCGGTGTTAATACTTTGCTAAGGGCAAAAGGCAATCTTAGCCGACCCTCAGGAGCCTGTAAGTCTACTCTAACATACAAAAATTCCTTTAGAAATATCCTTTATCTCTAAACCCCCGAGATACATGTTGGCAATCATCCCCCAAGCACCTGGCCCACTGTTATACATCTGAAGGGTCTCATGACTCAGGTTTTATTAGATGGTAATAGGCCACCTTTTCCCAACAAAAGCTCCCCCCCCCCCCCCCCCCCGCCAAGGTCCTGGAAACCTTGCTTCCAAAATTCCTTAGAGAGTATGCTATCCTGAAACCCCTCCCAACCCCCAGGTATATAATCAGCCACCCCTCACAGGCCTGGGGCAGCAGCTCTTCCTGCCTATGGGTCCTGTCCCTGTGCTTTAATAAAACCATCATTTTGCACCAAAGTTGTCTCAAGAATTCTTTCTTGGTTGTTGGCTCTGGACCTCACTTATATTCCAAAACTTCATCAGTACTAATTTTAACTTAGTATCTTGTGTTCCAAAGGTATTATTATTATATCATAGTAGTATGTTATATAGAAGCTATAATAGACTCCTTCATCATTTTGAAGATCCTTGAAAGTGGCATTTTTGTGTCGGCATTATGGCATTCTGGGTCAGATAGTTCTTCATTGAGAGGTCCTTGTGTTCCTGGAGGATGTTTAGCATTCCTGGGAAACCAAGCTCTAAATCTCAGTAATGTCCCCTCCCCCCATCTCAAGTAGTGACATCCAGGGAATAGCCTCACGTATTTCCAAATCCTAGGAAGTGATGCAGCCCCACCCCCCAGTAGAAACCTCTCAAAAGCATCTTATTTCGTGGCATTGGGGAATGGAAACTCAGGATTACATCTGAACTAAGATGATCGATTAGATAAATGAGAATAAGAGAGCAAGAGAGAGAGAGAAAGGTTTTTACAATGGATGTTAAATGGAAACAGTGTGGCCAGTTCTTTATACATTTTCTGGGCTTAATTACAGAGAGCACATTTTAGAAAAGTCCTTAAGGGTTTGCTCTTTAGCTTAATTCCAATGTATTAAGTCAATAAGTATTTATTGAGCACCATGTAAGAGCATGGTATACAGCTGCTTCAGCATGTCCAGAATTTGATGGAAGAAGAGCAGTGTTCTCCACTTTGCATGAAACCATAAGATGATAAATTAGGATAAATTAAAATAATTATCAGGGTGTTCCTGAGTGGCTTAGTTGGTTAAGCATTTGCCTTCAGCTCAGGTCATGATTTCAGGGTCCTGGGATAGAGCCCCTCTGAGCAGGAGCCTGCTTCTCCCTCTCCCTCTGCCTGCCTCTCCTGCCCCCCAGCTTGTGCTTACTCTCTCTGTCAAATAAATACATGAAATCTTTTTTTTAATGAAATAATTATCAGAATGATCAGTATAAAAGCAACTTTTTAGCTTATGAATAAAGTATATTAAACTTTTTAAAATGAAATAAATATTAATAAGAATTCAAAAATCTTTCTAAAGGCAGAGCAGTGTTTTTATCTAACCTTGAAAAATACTTACCTACCTTGAAAAATACTTGTCTACATGTTTTGAGTAGGAAAAAAATATTAAAAGAAAATCTGATTCTTATTTGCTCCAATCATAATTCCTATGTCCATGTGAACTGGAATCCGTTTATGTCTAAGGTCACAGGATATGATCATAGACATAAATATATATATGCATATATATAAATATACACACACATATACACATACATAGTATAGGGCATATACTATGTGTGTATGTGTGTGTATATATATAGTAACTATGTTGTAATATTGTAATTATATTACCTGTAGAATCCAGTCAAGTTACAATACTGTAATTTATCAGAACAGTAAACAGATTCTTTACTTAGTCAAAGGACTCATTAAACAGTCTGCAGGTGTATATTGATTATCTTATAAGCTAGACATCAAATTTGATCTGTTTAGTCTACTGCTAGTGTCAGTAAGAGATTGGTTTCCCTTCTCTTGTAGATTTCCCATGAGTTCAGACAAAGTTACCAGAAGCTGTTTAATTAATAAAAGCTGCTGCTCAGATACTGACTCCGTAGGACATATTTAGGGTACAAAAGAGAAACCTACTTCTGAATTGCTATAATATAATCATGTAACCGACACATATATGATAAAGCATAAAGTCGGCAGTCAGCAAACATAGGATACTAGCTGCACTTCAGAATAGAGGGGGAGGAAAAAGAAATAGGAGAAAGTAAAGCTAGGATGTTCTGCGGCTGGCATGGGGTTCGCTGTTAAAATGAGGTTCATTTTCAATGGCTTGGACCTAAAAACAGAACCAGCATTAGCTTAGTCCTTCAATGTATTTAAAGAGAAAGCCATAACTGTTGTCATTTCTATCATAGGAGCAAAATACCTATAATAAGGAGGTACTTATCGGTATAGAATATAAAGTTCCACTACCCAACATGAGCCAGTAGCGTAGCCAGGGAACTGGGCCGATGTGGGAGGAACAGGGTACAGTCTCTTCTAGGACTACCTCCCTTTTATTGTCAGGAAAGGAAGGGAAGGATACGGTGAATCATTTGCACAGTCTTAGTGGTCAGAGACTGAGTTTGCCTCCCACCCCAGTCCTGGAGTAACTGCGCTTGGCTCTGGGATTAGAAAGGAGAGGAAAGGGAAAATGTTGAAGGAGATGACCCCAGTGACAAAACCAGGGGCTGGAGAGAGAAAGGTGGAGTGTATTTTGGGCCTGCAGGCTTTAAGTTTTCTATTCCTCTTCTTGCTCACTCTACACGCAATGTTAGAGTCTCGAGTCCCTGTTTCAAGTCCTTGAGCAGGTTTAGCGAGACCAAAAAAGGATCACATCCTCCCTTAACTTGGCCGCAGACTCTCCCTCCTGCTCTGCGCTCCCGCAGGGAGGAAGTAAGCCTACAGGTGACAGCGCAGGACACGTATGGTTGTTCTTACTGGGTCACAGGACTGCTCTTCTCTCTCGCCAGGCGGCCCATGTGCAGCGGCTGGTCCTGATGCCCCTGTCGGCCCTGCTGTCCCTCTTCACCGGGCCTCAGAAGCTCATCCAGAAACGCTATGACAAACTGCTGGACTGCAACAGCTACTTACCTCGGGCGGCAGGAGACGACTCAGACTTGGCCAAAAAGGAGTATGAGGCCCTCAACGCCCAGCTTGTGGAGGAGCTGCAGGTGTTCAACCAGGCGGCTCGGAAGATTCTGCACAACTGTCTGTGCAGTTTCGTAGCTCTCCTCAGGGACCTGACCCTCGCCGCTCAGCAGGTTCATTCCACGGTGGCGCCGGTAAGCGGGCGGCTACCTAGGCCTGCAGCACCTGCTAGAAACCACAGCCACGTGGAACAGCCCTGTTGGTAGTGTGCACGCAGGCAGGGTGTGTGTGTGTGTGTGTGTGTGTGTGTGTGTGTGTGTGCGCACGCGCGCGCGGAGGTGGGGGCGGAATTTAACTGAAGCCCATAGTCCTTCAGTTTCTTTCTGTTTTCTCCACAAGAAAGTTTCCTAGTTCAGGTTTATTGGGACATGCACACTTGTTCTTTCTGGAGGTTTCTTTTCAAATGCCAAACACCTTTTAGCTCTACCTGCTTGATGCTTTGCTGAAGCTTATCAGTTTGTATTTTGTACTCTCTTCCTAGTCAACTGTTCTTCAGTGCTCACCATGACTATTTAAGGAGTGGGTCCCAAGAGGAGGCCATCTCCGTGTGATGACAGAAACAGGAGACCTGTCAAACCAGTCTTTTTTGCTTTTGTTTTCCTCTATGGAAAAAAGTCTAGTGTGTGTGTGTGTGTGTGTGTGTGTGTGTGTGTGTATCTGCATGTAATTTAGCTTTCCATTAGGATATGATTTTATGACTACTTTCCTGAAGAAGGAAGATATTTACAACTTAATGTCAACTTAAAAAAATCAGTGTGGTTTCTTTGCCCTTCATTTCAGTGAGTTCTTATTCAGCTGGTTAGATATTTAATGGACACCATTTGGAGGAAAATTAATTGTCCTACTTTATTTTTTACTGTGTATTTAATTAACTTTTAACTTATCCTTTGAATTAAATTAAGTTGAATAAGCAGGTGCTACATTTACATGGTTCAAAAGGCGAAACTACATACAAATGTGTAAGCAGTCTCACATAGACTCCTGTTCCCTGACCACCCATCCCCCAACTCCACCCCCTTGTTACTAGTTTATCCATTTAGAGTTTCTTTATGCTATTAGAAGTAAATGCAAAATGCATATATTTTTCCTAGAGAAAACTAGGGTATTACAGCACCATCCTGCAATTTGCTTTTTAACCTCCTTAGGATGCATACATGTCAGCACACAGAGAACTTTCTCAGCCCTTCTACAACTTTATACTAGTCTACTGCATAGCTATACAATAGTATATAACCAGCCCCCTATTTTTTGGATAACAACTTTATTGAGAAATAATTCACATACCACATATCCCACCCATTTAAAGTATGCAATTTCATGGTTTTTAGTATTTTCACAAAAGTTGTGCAATCACCACAATCAATTTTAGAATATTGTCATCACCCCCAAAAGAAACCCAGTACCATTAGCAGTGAATCCACATGTTCCCCCAACCACTCTCCCACAGCCTAGGCAACCCCAATCTATTTTCTGTTTCTAAAGATTTGCCTATTCTGGGCATTTCATATAAATAGAATTATATAATATGTGGTTCTTTGTGACTGGCTACTTTCACTTAGCATAATGTTTCTGAGGTTCATCGATGTTGTAGCGTTTTTGTACTTAATTCTTATTATTGCCAAACAATATTTCATTGTATATATACACATACACCATGTTTTATTTACCCATCATCAGTGGATGGACATTTAGGTCATTTCTACTTTTTGGCTACTATGAATACTGCTGCTATGAATATTCAAGATCTTAGTAGATGTTTGTTTTCATTTCTCTTGAGTACAGACCTAGGAGTAGAATTGTTGGATCATATGCTAACTGTGTTTAACTTTTTCAAGAACTGCCAGACTATTTTCCCAAGTGGCTGCACTATTTTACATTCTCAACAGTGATGATTGAAGTTCCAATTCCTTACATCTATCTGTCTTTTGTTTTATAGCCATCCAGTGGGTGTGAAATGATATCTCACTACGGTTTTGATTTGCAGTTCTTTGATCATCCCCCTATTTCAAACTTTTTAAATTGAAGTATAACTTATATGTAGTAAAGTACATCAGTCTGAAGTATACATCTCATGAGTATTTGCAAATATATATACATCTGTGTAACCACCAACCACATCTAGATATTAGCCCTTTCCTGTTCCTCATAAGGGCCACTCATGACCATTCTTCAGCTCTAGTCCCTCAAAGGTAACGATTCTACTGACCTGTGTTACCAGAGACTGTTATGTTTGGTTTGTATCTCATAAAAATGGAATCATACAGTATGTATGGTTGTTTTGTGTATCAACCTATTCCTACTGATGGATATTCAGATGATTCCAGTTGTCTGTAACTGAATAACAAATTATATCAAACATGGCAGCATGTGGCAACCAATGGTCATTTATTTCTATTGTCTTTCATAGTTCTGGAGGTTCCCTGGGTTCAGGGCAGTTATTCTCAGTGTCTCTGTGAGATTGCAGTCTGATAATAGGCTAGTCATCTCAAAGACTTCCTCAAGACCTCAAGATGAGATGATGATAGAAAACTCAAATAGTTGTGGATGAGGACAGTTAAGGCTCCAGAGACGTCCTCCCACCTGATCTTTCAACACAGCTTTTTGATATGGCAGCCACATTGCAATTGGACTTCTTCCATGGCTACGGAAGTCTCTCAGAGTGTCCCAAGAGAAACCAGCAGAAACTGGATAGTCTCTTTTAGCCTAATCTTGAAAGTCAGATAGCATCACTTCTGTTGTTCTGTTCACTTCCACATTCTATTCATGGAGGCAATTTTTAAAACCCATGCACTTTTGAGGAGAGAGGACATGGACTCCACTTCTTGATGAGAGTCACGTCAAAGAATTTACTGATTTGTTTTAAAACCACCACAGGCTCTTAACTAATGCTTCGTGTTTTAGCATTGTTCTCCTTCCTACTTTCCCACCCTACCATGTTGGAGGACCCTACTGCCATCAATTCCTGAGCCCTTCTTCCAAAATTTCATTGCTTTTTGTTTCTCTTCTATTCTTTTATTTAAGCTTAAAGCTTTATTTTTATTTTTTTTAAGGATTGTATTTATTTGAGAGAGAGAGCACGAACAGGGGATGGGGCAGAGGAAGAGAGAAAAGCAGACTCCCCACTGGGCAAGGAGTGTGATGTGGGGCTTGATCCCAGGATCCCAGGACCATGACTTGAGCTGAAGGCAGACACTTAACTGACTGAGCCACCCCAGTGCCCCTAAGCTTGGACCTTTAAAACAGTTATCCCTATCATTTTAGTGAGGCTTTTGGAGATAGCAAATTAGACCATTTTTATCCAGAAGTTCTAATATTGCCCTAATTTTTTTGCTGTTTGTCGTAACTCTACTAAATTCAATACCTAATATAGTTAAATAGTTGAGAACAATGCTGTATCATTTCTACCTATAGGTACCACTGTTGGCCCCGAGAATCTCTGAAATTCAGAATCGAGTACTGGAAGAGGTTCAAAATCTTAATTTTGTAAAAGACAACAGTGCCACTTTTATTGAAAGGAAACTTAGTTTTGAAAAGAAGAAACCTTTGCAAATTCCGGTGAGTTTGGTAGGATTTATGACAATGACTATCACTTCTTTTCCTTGTTCAAGTCACATTAAATTATTTTCCACATCACTTACCTCATTCTAATATCCTATAATTTACCTATTATATATAGGATTTCTTGTCTATGAGTTCTATAAGGTCATAGATTTTTACCCATTTTGTACATGATGTATTCCAAGCTGCTAAAATGATGCCTGACAACAGATATAAATATCTGTTGAATGAATAAATAGAATTGTATAGAGCAAAATCATAATAGTTCAACTCTTTCATTTTTCTAGATAAGAAATTCCAGGCTCCAGAGACAAAGTAGCTTTCTCAAAATCACTAGAGGCAGAGCAGAGAGGGGTCTAGGCCTCTTGACCCTGCCCAATTTACTGATATTATTTCCCAGAAAAAGACATGCACATGTACAATTTACTTAATTATTATTTATCAAGTGTTCAATATGCAAGAGATTGTCTACAGTATGGAAAAAAATTAAAAATTGTTGCATCCAAGAGGGATTAGAACCTCTGCTTTCTTATACTCAGTTGAATTTTCTTTCTTCTCTGCAACACTGCCCTCATGTGCTAACTAAAGAATTTTTCACTGCATAACTCAGCCGGATGCTTCACAATAATAACTCCATCAGTGCTTCAACATTGAAATAATCCCAGGTCAATGTGTGGCTTTAACATTTAAAAAATCTCCAAAGAAGAAATATTTGCTGGCTCAGTGACAATTTTATTGTATGTATACATCTATCTAAACCAAAGTTTTTCCTTACTTCTCCCAGCCAGAAGTGCCACGTCAAACTGACATTCACCGCTCCAAACTTCTATCCACATATGGTAAAGAAGAACTCTACCAAGCAAAGCGCAAGTGCAATGCTACACAAGAATATGACATCAATCTTCTGGAAGGGGAGTTAGTGGCTGTGATGGAACAGAAGGATCCACTGGGGAGTACAAGCAGGTGGCTTGTTGACACCGGAAGTAAGTTTTTTGTGTAAAATGCACAGAACTACCACCTCTTTTCAAGTTGAGATTTTTCCCAGGAGCCTCTCTGTGCTTCTCTAAACACAAATGTTTGGTAAGGGTATACAAATGACCTCGTTTCTTCTTTCTTTTTATTCCTATCCAGTTATAAGAGGCTATGTGTATTCTTCCTTCTTAAAACCCTACAATCCAGCAAAAGTGCAGAAGGTGGATGCTGAAAACAGGTTCGGTGATGATGATTTTGATAACATCAGCCTCTTTGTGTCCTCACGGCCAGCTAGTGACAGTGTCACAGGCACCCCAGAAAGTAGCATAAGTGATAGCAGCTCATCTCTTAGTGGTACATATGGAAAGTTTGAAACAAACGGCACTGATGTTGACAGTTCTCAAGAGGTAGATGAACAGGTAAGAGTTTGAACCTTGATGTAAAACTGCTTGGCTGTTCAAATCATGAAAGGTCTCTCTCTCTAATAGCATTCTGTCTTACCGTAAGACTTGGCGGAAGAGTGTCAGCTTTGACAGCAAGGAGACCTCGCTTTATGAACACTTATTCTCTGTGCCCCTTTATGGAGGGATTTTATTCTCTGAGCCTATTTCATCAAATGAGGGAAGGAGGATGATAATTCCTTCGTTGCAGACTTGATGTGAGGATTAGAGAAAATGTGTACATGTAAAGTACCCAGCACAGAGCAGACACTCTGTAAACAGTAATCATTATTATTACTACCCTGCTGGCATGTATTTAGAGTGAAGCAAAGATGGTCTTCTTATACTCCTCCATCACAGAAAGTTCAATACAACAGATTGCCACCATAAAGAACATGTGGGAAATTGTCCATGATTCCTTCAAGAGCAGTATCTTCATTAAGCTATCTATATAATTGGCCATTTTTAATCTCTTGTATAATGCCATTTACTATATATTGAAACTTTTGAGACTATGGGGACCATTCTTTCACAAAATAAGTTGACTATGATGAAGGGTTCCTTTTGGCTACCTCAGAAAGTTTCAGTATATTTAACTGTTAATCCTCAAGTGGTGACCAACTAACTGTTTCTCTTTTTAACTTGCTTTTTTCTTTAGCGGATATTAATTGATTTACTTTTTTTATAAGAGTAATATATGTTACTTCTGAAAAGTTAAAATGGTATAAAGATATATGTAAACTAAAAGTAAAGGTCTTTATTCCTTTCTCCCCTAACCCTACCCTTCAGAGACAGTATTAGGATTCACGTTTCAGAGATTCTCTGTGCATGTACAAACAATGCAAGTGGGAATGTGTATATGTTACATAATTGGCTTTTTTCCCCCACTTAACAATGTATCTTTGACACAACAGTACCTAAATATCTACCTTATTCTTTAAAAAATTCTGCATAGTAATTTATTTTGTGGATATATCACAATTTATGTAACTATTACTCTAATAAGACATTTAGACAATTCAGGTCTTTTTATAATTTCAAACTATTTCAAGCAAGATCCTTGTTTATCTATTTTTGTGCACTTACATGAGTACATATGTAGGAAAAATTCCTAAAACTATTGGAGGGTCAAAGGGTATATATATCTAAAGTCTTGATAGACATTGCCATACTGCCCTTCAAAAATAGTTTTACTTAGTTTCTTTCATTGCTGATACATTGATTGTTGTCCAATTCATGACCAGTTCTTTAAAAAAAAATATCTAGGGATGCCTGGGTGGCTCAGTGGTTGAGCACCTGTCTTTGGCTCAGGTCATGATCCTGGGGTCCAGGATCGAGTCCCACTTTGGGCTCCCTGCGAAGAGCCTGCTTCTCCCTCTGCCTGTGTCTCTGCCTCTCTCAGTCTGTGTCTGTCATGAATAAATAAATAAATCTTTAAAAAATATATCTTTATTAAGGACTTATTTACATACCATAAAATTCATCCATTTTAAGTATATAATTCAATGACTTTTGGTATATTTACAGAGCTGTGCAACTATCACCCCAATCCAAGTTTAGAATATTCCCTTCATCATGGGATGCCTGGGTGGCTCAGTGGTTAAGTGCCTGCCTTTGGCTCAGGGCATGATCCTGGAGTCCTGGGATTGAATCCCACATCGGGCTCCCTGCATGAAGCCTGCTTCTCCCTCTGCCTGTGTCTCTGCCTCTGTGTCTCTCATGAATAAATAAATAAAATCTTAAAAAAATATATTCCCTTCATCCCCCCAAATCCTTTGCACTCATTTGCAATCTGTTCTCTTTCTCACCCCAGCCTAAGGAAATTACTAATTTACTTTCTTTCTCCATATATTTGACTTTATTGTATATTTTGTATTAATGGATTCATACAATATGTGGTGCTTTGGAGCTGGCTTCTTTCACTTAGCATAATATTTTTGAGATTCATCCATGTCGGAATATACAAATGTACTTTGTGGGGGGGGGAGTTGTTTTTAAGATTTTATTTATTTATTCATGAAAGACACAGAGATAGAGAAAGGCAGAGACACAGGCAGAAGGAGAAGCAGACTCCATGCAGGGAGCCCGATGTGGGACTTGATCCCAGGACCTCAGGACCACACCCTGAGCTAAAGGCTGATGCTCAACCACTGAGCCACCTAGGTGTCCCTGTACTTTGTGTTTTTTTTTTGTTGTTGTTGTTTTGTTTTGTTTTGTTTTTTATCACATAACAGTATTTCATTCTATGGATATAGCATACTTTGTTTATCCATTCACCAGTTGATAGACATTTTGGGTAATTTCTATTATGAATAATGCTGGTATAAACATTTATGTACAAGTCTTTGTGAGGATTTCATTTCTTTTGAGTAGATATCTCACAGTAGAATATCTTGTTGATATGGTGAATTTATGTTTAACTTTTAAGAGAAACTACCAGACTGTTTTTCAAAGTGGCTGCACAATTTTACATACCCACGAGCAATGCATGTGGGTTGTGGATTGCAGTTTCTTCACATCCTCACCTTATTTTCTTTTTTTTTTTAAATTATTATTATGATAGCCACTCTAGTGGCTGCGAAGTGGTATCTCATTGTGGTTTTTATTTGCATTTGACTAATGCTGTTGAGTATCATTCATGTGCTTACTGTCCATTCCTGCATTTTCTCTGGTGAAATGTACATTCAAATATTTGCCCATTTTATAAATTTGGTCATTTTACTTATTATCCAATTGTAAAACTTCTTTATGTACTTTGGATGCAAGTTCTTTATCAAATATAATTTGTAAATGATTTCTCCCAGTCATGACTGATTCTTAATTCATCTGGACATTGATCTATGTTTTTATCACTCTTTTAAAGTTTCAAAACACTATTTTTCTATTACTTGTTCACTCTTAGTTTATTCAAAGTTTCTAGAAAAGAGAATAATATTGTAATACCAATAGATTTTTTTTGCCTCTGTATTCTGTTTATTCACACACACACACACACACACACACACACACACACAGAGGCAGAGACACAGGCAGAAGAAGAAGCAGCAGGCTCCATGCAGGGAACCCGACACAGGACTCGATCCTGGGTCTCCAGGATCACACCCTGGGCTGAAAGCAGCGCTAAACTGCTGAGCCACCGGGGCTGCCCAGTAATACCAATAGGTTAATGAAATTTTACCAGTGAAATCTATTTGGGATTACATATCCTGGCAGACTTTGACTTATCCCAATAAGTCAGGATATTATTATCCCAATAATAGAAGGGCAGAAATTTGAGGACAAAATTTGTCAAGACATCCTAAAGCTGGCTTAACATTGAGCTCTAATTATTGGCTCCACAGGGACTTAAGTACCTCAAGTAGGCTCTTTGGGCATGGGATTTGTAGTCTACTTCCTAATAGCTGCTACTGCAAAGTAATTCCCTTTGAGTAATCCTATCAATATGTTTCATATGAATTAGGTCCATTAGAAGGTTCCATTACCAAGAGAGGAAAAAAATGAGATAATTTTCTTTTGCTCAAAACAAAGTATATTGATAGTATCTCTTCATAGAGTGCTACTTGCTTTTTCCCTCCGAGTTTGGAATCAATTCAAAATAGACCTTGGGGTCAGGGACATACATATAAAGCATTATTCCTAACAAAACTGGACTAGAAAATGCAGCTTGGATCAATGTCCACGTAGGATCCCTGAATACTTTCCTTTTTGTTAAAATAATTGAGTCCAAATTTTGCAAGACTCTCACGCATATGAGCAAAGTCTATCCCAGTAAATTTTTTTTTAAGATTTCATCCATTTATTCATGAGAGACACGGAGAGCGAGAGAGGCAGAGACATAGGCAGAGGGAGAAGCAGGCTCCATGCAGGAAGCCTAATGTGGGACTTGATCCTGGGAATCCAGGATCACGCCCTGAGCCAAAGGCAGGCGCTAAACCACTGAGCCACCCGGGTGTCCCAATATCCCAGTAAATTTACCATAAGTTGAAGATAATGCACTTGTTAGAAACCCCAGTTCAAGGGAGAGAAGAAAAGACCACATAGGAATATTTCCCTTGATGTCTTAATTCCAGTCAATAGAGGTACATGGGCTAGTGGTTTTCAGACTTTTCCAATTATGCAACTACTGTTCAGCCCTTGAAACAGAAGGAAAACCTTGGATGATCTTCCTAATCCTTATCAGAAGGCTATTTTCATTCTGTTGACTCCTAGAAGGTGTGAAGAAGAAAATGTTTAACTCTCATACCTATGGTGTGACAATCTAATAGAACAATGAATGCATTATAGAGGTTCCTATAAGGTGATTGAAAGTGGGAGTAAATTGTATCTTTTTTTTGTGAACAGTGAGAATACACTGTACATTGTAATATGCACATTTGAGGTGCACTACAAACTAATTTTCTGTGTGGCTATTTAGACTTTTGTTCTTGGTTGTATTTTATTATCAGGAACATCAACTGAAACATTGGTTTAACTGAATGACAATTTGAGTCACCATTTCTTCCCTATCCTTTCCTACTATGGCAGTAGCACTTTTTTTTTTTTTTTTGCTTTCTTCCAGAATTGAAATAGCATATTGCCATTGGTGTTATAGGCTGTAATCTATTCTTATTGATGGTTATAGTGGACCCTGACAAGAGGACAGGTAGATGGGTAGTCTTGACCTATCCCTGATATTCAGGGGGCATCACTGGGGTCCTAAAAATCAGTCATAAATAGGCAAGTTCAGACTGACTTCGGAGTAGTGGCTCCAAAATTAATTTTTATACTCAAGCTGAGTTTTTAATGTGGATTCCACAAATAAATGGAATTTATGAATGGGCTTTGAAGGATTTATAAATCCCCTCAAATACATTGGAAATTTTGTGCTTATATGCATAACTATAGTAAAAGTCCATAGCTTTCAACAGATTTTCAAAGGGGAATTTTACTTTAAAAGGTTAGAAACCATTGCTCTCAAGACTTAACTTGCTTATCCATTC